TATACAAATACTAAAGAATATAACTCATAAAAAGTTAACATAAGTTAATTAATACATATAAAACACTTAGGACAATGGCTGGCACATGATAAGCACTCAGATGTTTAGCCATTGTAACAACAGTAATTATTATTATTATTATATTAGAGGGGGAAAAGCGAGGAATGAAGTGGTTTGTACCTAATATAAAGTAACATTTGAGGCCATCTTCTGAGAGTAAGTCTCACTGAAGATGAGATGGGGCAAAGCAGAGGGGAGGATGTTATGAATTATTGCTAATATGGATAGAAGTAGGAGGTGGTCAAGGACAAGTCACGTGTGTTTATATTTACCCACAGACTTAACTTTTCTGGTGCTCCTAGATTCCGTCTTTGCCGGGAGCCAGCACACGAGATCCCACCCATGACAAGGTCATGAGGGAGAAAACCTGATCCGTCTTTTAAGGATTCAAACTTCCATCTGTAAGATTTCCCTTCAGCCTGAAGTATTTCTCATAATGATGGCTCAGTGGTGACAAATCATCACAGCTTTCCCTCATCTGAAGATATTTCTGTTTTACCCTCACTATTGAAGGAAATTTTCACTAGCTGCAGAATTCTGGGCTGACATGATGAGGATGGTGGTGGTGGTTTCTTTTAGAATTTTAAAGATGTTGTTCCATTGTCTTCTGCCCTCAGTTGTTTCTGAAGGGAAATCAACCATTATTGCTGTCACTGTTTCTTTGTGTGTATTGCGTCTTTCTGTTTCCTAGCTGCTGTCAAGGTTTTCTCTTTATCTCTAGTTTTCAGCAATTTGACTATGACTTGGATGGGTGTGATTTTCTTTGTCTGTATCCTGCTTTAGGTTCACTGAACTTCTTGAAGCTGTGTGCTGATGTTTCTAATCAAATTGAAAAAGTATCTGGCTATGTATGCATTTTTTGTTTTGTTTTTGTCTTTACTCTTTCTGAAACCCCAAGTGCATATGCGTATGTGTGTGTGTGTGTGTGTGTGTGTGTATATATGTATCTCAGGTCTTTTATATTGCGCTTGAAGTTCTTGAAGTTCTATTCATTTTTAATTTATCTTTTTAGTTTGTGCTTCAATGTGAACAATTTCTTTTGACCTGTCTTCAAGTTTACTGCCCTTTCCTCTGAAGTGTCCTCGCTGCTCTTATTCAAACCCAGAGGATTTTTATTTTAGATATTGTGTTTTTTTGTGTGTAAAGATTTATGGATTTGGGGACTTCCCTCGTGGCCCAGTGGTTCAGACTCCATATTCCCAAGGCAGGCGCCTGGATTCAATTCCTGGTCAGGGAACTGGAGCCCATATGCCACAAGTAAAAGATCCTGCAGGCCACAGCTCAGACCTGGGGCAGCCAAATAAATAAATATTTTTAAAAAAGATTTCTGGGTTTTATTTTAGTCTCCCTCTATCTCTTGAAATTCACTCATTATATTCATCTTTTTCCTCTACATTTTTAGTGCATTTATAATAATTATTTTAAAGTCCTTGTCTGTTAATCCAGTGTCTGGGTCATTTGGATATGTTTCTATTGAGTTTTTTTTACCCTCAATTATTGGCTTAAATCTGCTTCTTCATGTCTAATCCTTTCTTATAGTGTAGTGGACATTGTGAATAATAAGTTTTAGATGCTTGAATTCTGTTACCTTCCTCTGAAAAGTATTGAATTTTATTTTAATGGCATTAAATTATGTGCAACTAATTTTTTTGAAGGGTTTACTTACCATGTTTAAAGTTTTTTATAAGATAGGTCTCTTTTTGTTTTTCCCTTAGTCCTCTGATATAACACTTATTTCTGAGATGATGTCCTTTCTCCCAAAGCTGACCCTTCTAGGGTTCTAATGGAAAGCCTGAGGTGTTACCAAGTCCTTCTAACCTGGTGGGACTAGAAAGCTACCTCAGGGGAAAAACTGGTTAAGCATAGGATCTCAGTTTATTTTCTTTCCTTCCTTTAGAGATTATAACCCCTCTATTTGTCTGCCTGTTTTGGTCACTTTTCAGTGATTGCAAATTATTTCTTGTACTTGTCCAGGATTTATAATAGTTGTATTGAGTGGGTTAATTTATTACAAGCTATTTAATCATTATTGGAAGCAGAATTTAGGGAGGTGTTTTTGAGCTGAGCTGATGGCACTCAGCTGTGACTAAGGACACATGCTTTGGCGCCAGGTTGTGGGAAGGTCTTGTTGCAGTGGCTCGGCAGCCTGGTTGGGTGGAAAGTGTGGCCAGACAGGTCTAAGAGAGTGGGCAGTTAAGGAACCAGATATTTCTCTTGATATAAAAAGAAGCATGAAAGTGGGAATAAAGGTAGGAGAGAGCTGGAGAGACAGGAAGTTGGTCCTTTTAGCCTGACTCATCATTACTGCTGACTTGGTCAGACTGTTGTTAGGGGTAATAAAGTATGTGAGTGTTCAGTAGATGGTTTTTATGATTATGGAGGCCACTGAGTTGAGTTTACTAGGGCCTGATCCACATGGCACAATCCTTGTCATGTCATCTGGTGACTTCTCTGTCCATGGAAGCACATATGAGGTGAAATGGGATTGTTGTTACATTATCATCAGGAACATCACCATCACCATCCATGCTGCCTCCCCTTTAGGGGTATGTTTCTGTGTGGTTCTTTGCTCTATTTGTTAGGTCAGAGCTAAGGTATGTTAAAAAGAAACCCTCAATAACTGTTGGCTTAGGGAAGATAGTTCAGTTCTCTGTCACACAATAGTCTAAGAGTCTCAGACTGCAGAGACAAGCTCTACAGGGCAGGAACTCGGGCTTCCTCTGTCTTGTTCACCAGTCATCACCACTCTATCACTCTCATCTAGATGGGCCAGTATGACTGATTATCATCTGTCTTTATTCCAAGCATTGGGAAAGGGCAAGGGGCAGCTGTGGGTACATCCCGCTTCCCCATGAGGGACCCATCTCAGAAGGTACACATGCCACCTTCACACCCCACTGACCAGAACTCAGCTACCCAGCTACAAAGAAAGCTGAGAAATATAGTCTTTACTTGGGGCAGCTATGAGTTCATTTTTATGTTTGGAGCCCTAATACTGTATAAAGGGAGACTTCATGTTGGGGACAGCCACCAGTTCCTGTCACCAATCTTGAGGTCATGAACCTGGTTTTTAGCTCAAGGGTCACTTTGTGGAAGGAGCTTGACGGTCACTGGGGAACCCACTGAGCACTGGAGTTGAGGGATGTCCACCTGCTCTGTACATTTCTCCTTGTGGGTATCAGCAGACAAGGATCATTGCTCTAACATATACTAATAAAATGGACGTAATGTAGCTGGTAAGGAACAAAACTCATTCCACAAGCTGCCTGTCAATTCCCCATTCCCCAGCGGCTACACCATGCTGGAAAGGTGGACAAAGCTGGGCTTGAAAGTGCCCAAGTGATGCCAAGATTTTACGCTGATCCTCCTATCTCTGCCGTTGGTTGGCAGAGTCACAATAGGCATGGGCTTTAACTTTCCTGGTCTCCAGAGTAGAGGACTGAGTTGTGTCTAAGGTATTTGTTTAGCATGAATGTTCTGGGATTGTATGATTCCCTGACACTCCCTGTCTTTGCACTAAAGCAAGCTCCCAGGAGGACGCAGCCACCTTAACTCCTTTATGAAATGGGAGGGAGTCGGCGGTATACACACACCTGCTTGCAGTCAGCTGGGGGCCTGCAGACCTGGGCTTTTCTATTTCCTTGGGTTTCTTTAGTTGTGCTTTTTGTAGTCAGAAGTCAATTTTCCATTCAACTAAGCTTATTTTTTTAAACCTTATATTTCTTTAAAAGATACTTTAAATTCTGCTTTTAGAACTATTATATGATCATTGTAGAAAATGGAGACAAGTATAATGAGGGAAACAGACAAACAAAAATCACCCATAGTGTCAGCACATGGACACTGGTACTATTCAGGCCTTAGTGTGTAGTGCCTTCGCTTCAGCATCTAAGAAAACAAGAAAAATGCTTCTGTCTCTACTTCAGTTAATCAAGCTGATGTTTTGTAATCTGCTTTCTTTTACTTCATGACCATCTCCTGAAATCCTTAAATATTTTTTAAGAACGTGATTTTTAATGAATGCCAAGCTTTCATCATTTGGATGAACCACACTGCACTTCACCGGTGCCCCAACATTCAGACTGTGTCTGAGTCTTCATTGTTATTAATTACATGGCAGGGACTGTTCCACGTTGACAGCATCTTAGCTCCTGTCACAAACACTGGGTGGTGGCGAGGCCCATAAAGGTTGGGTGGCCTGTTTCAGGCCATACAGCCAGTGAGTGGTGGGCCCTCCCCTCTGGTCCAGCTGCCTCCCCTGATGCCAGGAGAGTGGAAGCACAGGCGTGACACAGACAGTTGACTTCCAGTGTGTTGGTTTGGGTAGAAAAGAGCCAGTGGGGTTTCTCAGCAAGATGCTGCTATGCGTGGTTGTGATGCTTCTGTGGAAAGCCAGCTTGCTTTCTGCCCCCACACCGGCAAGCTGCCCTGCTCCCATTCCATCCCCACCCACCTGGGCAGCAGTGAGCCCAAGCCAGGCACCTGAAGTCCAGGTCTGAGGAGAGAGGCTTTTGCAGGGGAGGCTGGGAGGCAAGCAGGTAGGCAGGGCACAAGCAGGCTGGGGCAGGGAGACCACGCAGCTCCTGCTCCTCCAGGCCCCCGCCTGAGTGCGGCAGGAGATCCAGTGGCCTTGTTCCCAAGCAAGCTTCCTCCCCTGTTCTCTTATCCTTTTTCCAAAGCACTTTTCTCTTCCTCTCCAAAGAGTGTGTCACTCTCTTAAAAAAACAACCTGTCCTCATCCTTATTTATCTCATTTCCTCTGAGAGGGATGAGAGGATTCACTGTTGAGTTGGGGTGTGGGACAGCAAAATAGAACCCACTCAAGGCTTGGCCTGGGCGATGACCCCTTTTGCTGGCCGTGTCCCTGCCTGGATGACTCAGCTTTTGCACCCCTGCCTGAGACCTTTCAGCCTTGACTGTTGCGTCCTCTTCTCTAACAGGCAACCATTGGGATTGACTTCTTGTCAAAAACCATGTACTTGGAGGATCGTACGGTGAGTGCCTGACTGGGGACCTGGGAGGACAGGGAGGGCTCCCTGGGACCTACTACCTGTGGCCTGTCCTGGGCACCACTAAGAACCCATGGCTGCCCAGAGCAGGCAGTGCCAGCACCGCAGGACTTTCCCCCAGCCCCCCGCTCCCACCCTGAGGACCCCACTGTGCCCTGAACCTCCTGCCCACCCCGTGACAGGTGCGACTGCAGCTCTGGGACACAGCCGGCCAGGAGAGGTTCCGCAGCCTGATCCCCAGCTATATCCGGGACTCCACAGTGGCCGTGGTGGTGTACGACATCACAAGTGAGTATGGGGCGTGGGTGCTGGGCGGGGAATAGCTCACAGGGCTCCAGGGCCCAGGTGTGTCCCCAGCCAGGGTGCAGCATGTGTGTGTGTGTGTGTGTGTGTGTGTGTGTACATGCGTGTGTGCTTGTCCTCTGATTGCAGGAAGGCAGGTGCTCAGAGTGGAGAGGGAGTTGCTTCTGAGCCTCCCCCATCCTCCTGCACCAGGCGCGGCGTACTGGACCAGGGTGGCCCTGTTCAGAGCAGGGGCCTGTGTGTGGAGCAGAGCAGATGATCAGAAGACTGGCCCTTCTCCTGCCCCTCAGGACCATCCTGGGCCCTGGCTGCCAGAAAGACCCCTAGAGAGCAACTGCCTTGTATGGTGTGTGTAGACGTGCAGGTGTGAAAAGATGCCGGTCCGTGGGCTGGCCTTGACCTGGCAGCCGTGGTTCTGTTAGCAGCACCCCAGCTCCTTACAGGGCTCTCTGGGAGGGGAGGCCCAGTGGGCCTCTGGGGCCGTGGGTGGGCTGTTCATCTCATGCCCTGTGGCTCTTCTGGCCAAATCGGCTGCTCTGGAGAGAGACACACAGCCCTGAGGGAGACTTGTGGGGCTGGGGGTGAGGGGCTAGGACCCGTGCAGAGCCCCACTGCCCAGGCAGGTGTCATGGCACACACCTGGCAAGCCCTTGGGCTTCAGTCAAGCTTATGGTGGGAGGATGCCCCAGCCTGCTGCCTCTAGCCCTCCCCACCTCCTCCCCCCACCGTCTCCCTGACCGCAGGCTCCTTGCACACCTGAGAGCATAGAAGTGGGGCCCTGAGGAGGCCTGGGCCCCTGATGCTGAGCAGAAGATCAGCTGTGGGAAGCCCAGGTCCCCAGGACCGGGAGCTTCGCCTCCCCTTGGGCCTGCAGGCTGCTGAGGGGTGGACATCACCCTATGACTGTTACTCTGGGAGCCTGTCTCAGCTTCTGACCGAGGTGGGGACTGCCCTGAAAAAACTGGCCTCTCCTGCATTTTGTCTGCTTCTGGGCCAACTTCCCACTCCCCTCACTTGCAGGGCCTGAGGGTGCTGTTCGAAAACCCCTCTGAGCTCCTGTCGGTGGGAGGCCACTCTGCAGGGCCCTCCTGGACTCAGGGCTGCATGGTCTCTCCCACACGTGTGTCACACTTTCCAAGCTCAGCCAAGTCCACTGCACTCATACATCACTCTGCTCTGAGCCTGCAAAGTCAGATCTGACTCTTAGATGGGCCCTAAAACCACTAGTCCATGGAGCAAATCATGACCCAGTGGCCTTCCGGGTGCCATGACCTCTCCCCAGTGGGTGGCTCAGCAATGTGAGGGGTTTTGGGGGCCCGCAGCACAGTTCCACAAATACACCCAGGCATTCTCAGGAAGGTCCAGACTTGCCGGTCTGTGCTCCCACCTGCCCTGCCCAGGTGTCTGAGGGTGCACACTCTCCCTCCCTGAACCCTTCCCCTCTCCCGCAGGGCCACCTCTCATGCCAAGCTTTATCCCTACTTTCCACCTCCAGATCTCAACTCCTTCCAGCAGACCTCTAAGTGGATTGATGATGTCAGGACGGAGAGGGGCAGCGATGTGATCATCATGCTGGTGGGCAACAAGACGGACCTGGCTGACAAGAGGTAGGTGCAGGGGGCTGTGGGCCACCCGCTGCCCTCCTCTGCAACTCCTCCTGGATGGGGTGTCCTGGGACTTGTAGGCAGTGAGCGCCCTGTCTGACCTGTTTCCCTGCATCTGGGAAGGGCCCCGAAGGCTCTGAAAGCATCCATGTGCCCGGCCAGCCCAGCAGCGCATGGTCTGGGCCTGGCCTCAGTGCAGTCATGGACACAGCAGCCCTCGGGCTCCCGCTGGCCCTGCCCCTGGGAAACGCCTGTGTTAACACTGGTGTGAGTGTGAAGGGCCTGGTCCCCAGGCGTGAACACACAGAGTTTCCTGGTCCAGCTCTATGTCTGGGTGTGACACTGTCCCCAAAGAGGCTGTCCTCCAGGAACAGGGCTCACCTCAGCACCCTTTCCTTATCTCATGGGGCAGATAAAGCAACCAGTCATGGACTGAGGGCCTTCTGAAATGCACTCTGACCGTTTAGGGAGTATTCTGAATGAGAAGCTGCTTTATTAAAATCCTGTCCTTGAAGTGAAGAAAACAGAGCTCAAAGCCTAGCTTCTTTGCAACAGGTGACCTTGGGGCCATCCCTTTTGACCTCAATGCACTCATTTGGCAAATGGGGCAGGTGGTACCACCCAGAGAGGTGGTCTGTGGCTGGCGGAGTGTGACAAATGTTGGCTCCGGCAGTGGTGATCCTTGGAAAAGTGGGTGGGAGCCAGCAGCCCACCAGCCACAGGGCCAACTCCCGGACTGGACAGTACTGCCAAGGAGTGGGTGGAGTGGGGATGCTGGCTTCCTGCTGTGCTCTGCACCTCCTGCGCCCTGAGGGAGCCCTGGGGTTCAGCCCTGGTCTCAGGCCAACTTAAGTGCCCTCATCATCTGAGGCCGCTCCCTCCACCCCGACTGGGGGCTCCTTCTCTCCTGAAAACTGGTCCCCCTCATCTCCCCTCCAGGCAGATAACCATAGAGGAGGGCGAGCAGCGCGCCAAAGAACTGAGCGTCATGTTCATCGAGACCAGTGCGAAGACTGGCTACAACGTGAAGCAGGTGGGAGGTGCCTCCTTGACCAGGGGCTCACGCTGGGCTTCTGGCGCCAGGGGCTAGTGACCAGGTGGGGCAGCGTGGCCAGCCAGCCCACCCGATGGGGAGTGAGTCCCTCCAGAGCTCTACTGCTCACCCTCAGGGTATCGGGGACTATGGGATCAGCTGCACCCAGAAGCCAGCCCACGGCTCCTGAGCTGCCGTGGATGTCCAGCCCTCAGCGTCTAGGCAGCCGAGAAACAGCACTTTCCTACCTGTTCCCTCACTTGGGATGGGCATGCAGGAGAGGCCATCCACTCAGCATTTTGGGGTTCCTGCATTATGCTTGGCAAGCGCCTGGGGGTGTGTTGGGCCAGGTGGACTTGGGGAAAAGAGCCCACCCTCAGTGCGGTTAGAGCTCACAGGAGGGGGGCCTGCAGAGTCAGACTCCTCAGAGGAGCCGTAGAGGAGGTGGGTTTAGGGCTGAGTCTCGGAGCAAGAGATTTCTCACAGGTCAGTGGACTTGGATGGAAACAACTGCACCTGTCTGTGCACCATCCCCTGACAGATCTTCAGCATTTTCTGCGGCCATGAGCATAGCAACAGGACTCCGTGTGTTAGTAGCCCCCCTGGCTTTACTGGTGTCTTGAGTCTCTTGAACATTCCCCCCTCAGTATCTCAGGGGGTCCCCTGCCAGCTCCGGCTCTTTAACACGTTCCTGAGGAAGCACAGGTGTTGCTGTATCACGAGCCTGTATCTTTAAAGAGTTTAGAAATTTATTTCAGTACTAAATGGTCTTCTTTACATAAAACTTGGGCTTTCCTGGTGGCTCAGATGGTAAAGAATCTGCCTGCAATGCAGGAGACCCAGGTTCGATCCCTGGGTTGGGAAGATCCCCTGGAGAAGGGAATGGCTACCCACTCCAGTATTCTTGCCTGGAGAATTCTATGGACAGAGGACCATTCATTTCATATGCTTGAAAGGAGGCCATAGCCTTCACTAGCCTGCCAAAGGAGTTTTTGGCTCAAAAAGGTGAGGGTCCCCTGTCTTCAAGGAAAAGAGGACTTGGATAGCTGACAAGGAGGGGGCTTCCCAGGCGGGGGACTGCATGGGCACAGGTGGGGCCGGAGGGGTGCTGGGGCCTTGCCGGGGTCACTTCTGCCCTGCCACGCCCAGCAGTGTCCAGGAGCACTAGACAAGCTGCCATGCACCAGCTGGCCACACGCAGTGAGGGTCTGAGGGTTTACCCCGCCTGGGCAGTGCTGTGCCAGTGGGAAGTGGCAGAGGAGCTGGAAGGGGCAGAATGAGCTCCCAGATCCAGGGGATGCCCCCACCGCAGTTTGAGGGCCTCAGCGTTGCTCTGTTCACTCACAACCCCTTACCAGCCTCCTTTGGCATGAGGTGTCCCCTGGAGGACGGAGCTGCCCGTCCCTGGGGGCCTACAGGAGACACCAGGTTGTGGCTCTGCATGGTCCTGATGGAAAGGCCTGGAGGGCGGGGAAGCAGAGATCAGTGGTCCAGAGGGCAAGTGGCCTCTGCCCCCAGTGGACAGAGATGCTGATGCCCCCTTTCCAGAACATTCTGGAAGCCAGGCAATGGTCTGAGCAAGAGTTGTGTATAGTCAGTTCCACCCTGAGTGGTTCAGAGGAGTCTCCATGCAGTGCAGGCCCCTGGACTCTGAACATGAGCATGTCTGCTCTCAGAGGCCCCCACGTGACCCTTAGAACTTCTGTTTGACTGGCAACTTGGCCATTGGCAGAGGCTGTGACTACTTTGACGACCAGACAGGTAGAGTGGGGCTGCCTGGGGCATGGCCATGGAGGAAGGCTCGGGGAGTGACTGGACCTCTGCACCCCCTCCTGCCCGTCTCTCCACCCTACCCACCAGCATCTTCCCCACTTGTGCCCTCACCCTCACCACCTTTGGTCCTGTCACCCAGCCTGGGTGCTCCCACGTGACTGGGCTCTGCCGTGAGACCATGATAGAGCCTCACCCTGTCTTCAGAGAGCTCAGGCAGTGACGTTTTAAGCCCAGAGCTCACCTAGTTCCTGCAGTTGGTGTTTGTCAAGAGACAGGGAGAGCATTCAGAATCTTCTGGTGCCTTGTATTTCTGTCTTGTACTTACTGTCATCCCCCTAGGTTCCATCCCCCTAGGTCCTGCCAGCACCCCCCTGACACCCTGTCCGCCCTGCCCCAGTGAGCACATGCACATGCGTGCAGACACACACCACACAGCTCTCCATGCACACTTACAAACACACAGGCACAGAAACCCCACATGTGCACATACACATCACACACACGCATCCCCCCACATACTTACACACACAGATGCTGCACATCCATATCCACACTGCACACACTCCTCTACACACAGTATACGCAGTCACACTTGCCCACGCTCAAGCAAACCCTCAGTATCACACTCACACTCCCATATCCTTATTCCCTCTGAAAAGTCTCCTCAACTCTGACTGTGGCCCTGGCTCCTAGAGGCCTGCTGGGGCCCAATGCCGTGAAGGGTGCTAGGGGGTGGGAGGGAGAAGTTAGGTGCAGTCCCTTCTGTCAAGGGTGCAGTCTCTGCTGTCCGGGATGCAGTCAGCGGGACAGGACAGAAGTAGAGCCTGAGGTCAGGGTGAGAAAGGCATAAGGTGGACATGCCAGGAGCAGGGGGGGAAGGATGGGGCTCATGCTGCATCTCTCCCTCTCCCTAGCTCTTCCGACGTGTGGCCTCGGCTCTGCCTGGAATGGAGAATGTCCAGGAGAAAAGCAAAGAAGGGAGTATCCTTTTTCTTTGACAAGTGAGTGAAAGATGCTGCAGAAGTCATTTATTCATGGATTTATCACATGATATGTTAGAACAGTGGACAAACCCTTGCCTGGTCCCCAGGCCAGCCTTCCTGATGGGCAGCTGTGCTGTGGAGCCTCATATGTACAGGAATGAGGCTGAACTCCAAGGTCTTCAAGACCCCGTCCATCTTGAACCAAACAATCTTCCAAAACAGGGTAGTGGTGCCAGAGGGATGTGTGTGGAGTGACAGTGTGGGGCAAGGAGTGAGAAATAGTAACTGCCCTGCTTTCTAGTGAATATAGATTTGTGTTTCATGTGGACAAGTAGAATCTCCACTTCTGTACACTCAGACATGATCTCAGCATGGTTCAACCTCCTCTACATGAGACAACTGCCTCCTCAGCCCAGCCCTGCACAGCCTGGGGCCTTCCCACTGCCCCAGGGACAGGGTCTGCACACCACTCACCAGTCCACTCCAGACCTTGGGCCACACTCAGAGGCTGAAACCGAGGCTCAGAGAGGTGGTCTGATTTGCCCAGTGGAAAGGAAGTCAGTTGTTCCTTGTTTTTTTACTACTTTGCCATGTTATAAAAAATGTAAGTTTGTGTATATGTAATACTATATATACACAAAACAAGATAAAAATATACAAAAGAATATTGAGGTTTAGGGACCATAAAAAGAAAAAAAATAAGGAAAAGTCATGGATAAGGTCATACTCAGAATATATGCCATGGCCAGTGGCAAAAAAAGTGGTGAGGAGGCAAAGGATAAGGTGTCTTTAGGGAAGCTTGGTTTTTTATACCGCTTGACTCCTGAAGCACCTCTCCCATCGCCCTTACGCAGGGGCCACAAAACCTCCTTGGGACGTGGGCAACTGAGCCCATAGCAGGACTGCTTCCACCCCAACTCGGGCGGTTCCTACTGGTGCTCCTCCAACCCACACTCCCCAGGGCATCCGTGGAAAGGGCTGTGCCGGGTTGTGGCTTCTCACAGCAGCAAGCGCAGAGTCTGGGACCCCCTCTGCCTGGAGCTGGAAGTGAGGGGGCCAAGGTTGCTGTGCCCACCTGAGCAAGGCCCGGGTAGCCCTGTGATTGGCGAGGTGGGCTGTCCACCCAGCCGGCAGGCTCTCCACCTCCTGTGCAGCTCGGGGTGCCACTGACAGGGAACAAGGCCGAGACTCCCCACCAGGAAGGCTTTTGAGAAAGGGTCTGTCAAGCCTGTGTTTATGTGGTGGTCCCACAGCCCCAGGACAAGCTTTGCTTCTGGTAGACAGAGGTAAGGTTGTGGGGGACGTTCCGGGAAGAGGAGGAAGGGTGGGACCTGGCGACCCTGCATCCTACCCACCCAGGCTAAGCAAAGTGCAAGCCCCTGGGTGTTTGCGGAGGGACGGAGGGGCTGTGCAGGGCCACTGAGCGAGTACCCGGGCGGGAGTCAGGTGGGAGCTTCTCCGAGAGTCATCTTCCTTAGCCCCGCTCCTGCAGTGATTGACATCAAGCTGGACAAGCCCCAGGAGCCCCCGGCCAGCGAGGGCGGCTGCTCCTGCTAATGCAGCCTGACCCCGGCTTCCTTTGACACTACTCGCTTGTTGTGTTGCTTCCTATTGGTTAGCTTCCTAAGGGGGGTGGGAGATGAGCTTATCCAGATGGGAGGAGTTTTCTTTTCTCTCTGTCTCTAGGAGTCGGGTGGGTGGGGAGGGAGGCTGGGCATCAGGGATCACGTCACTCTTAACAGCTGTTACTTAAACAACTATTTTTTGGTTTGGTTGTAATATATTGTACTTTATTAAGATTGCCAAAAACTTAAAATTTAAAAAAAAAAATTTAAATCATGTGTATACAACTTTTTGCCAGATAAAAATGTAGTCATTTTTATTTGAAAGATGTGCTTTTTTTGTTTTTGTATATTTGTAAACTTACAGAGAACCTTTTCCACACACCTCCTCCTTCCTGTCCTCTTTTAATGGTTCATCACCTCTGCCCTCCTCCCACCCCCAGACCGATAAATTTAAACAATTAACTGGGCAATTTATTTAGGCTCCAATCCCCAGGCTGTCTGGCCCAGACCAGCCAGGCCTCACCAAACAGGCCCTCCGTGGTCAAATCAAACACTGATGGAAGGAAACAGGTTCTGAAGAGGTAGCTCTGACTCCGTCCTTCTGTGGCCAGAGTAGGACATGAGCCACAGCCCCGAGCTGAAGTAAGGCCTGTGAACTGCAGGGAGCCCAGGCCAGGCCCACTGGAATCACTTCTGCTGAATCCCCTCCCTGAAAAGCCTCGAAGTGGGTGGAGGACGCTTGCCACAGGCGACCGTCTTTGCTCCGTGGTCCACCCAGTGACTGGCAGAGCAAGAGGTCATGGGCAGGAAGGAAGGACGGGGTGCTGTTGGCAACTGTGGGCTGGGGCAAGGTGTGGTTTATAGACTGGGGGCACCATATGTAGTCATGAAAATGTTTTAACCAAGCCGTCCAACGATCAGCAAATGTTTCTGGTTTGAAGCTAAGGGAAGGGCAGAAGGAACCTCGGTGTGTGCCCCTGAAGCCCTCCTACTTGGATGCCAGGGAAGCTGGAGCCTGTTCCACACAGTATTGGCCTGTCTGTGGTGGGGGAAGGGGGGGTCTGCAGAACTGCCACCAGGAAGATGCATGTTTGCTGATCCTTGGTTGCTACTACTGTTAAGTGCTGTTCTGGAAAAGCTGACTTCTTGACGTGTTTCTATCTCCCTGGTGCAGGGCAGTTGACATTTTTGTGCACAGACCTTTGCAGATATTGTAGCAGCACTCTGGTCACTTGAGGGTAAGGCTGAGGTGGGGTACCCAGAAGGCTTTCCAGAGAGCCATCCTGGCCATTTTTGACTCATTTCTGAGAAGGACTTAGTCCTGAGGACCTACCTGTAAAATCTTTGGAAAGAACTCTTTCACTAAGTGATGCTGCCCACTTGACCAGCATCCCAAATAGATCAGACTCACCAACTCCGAGTCTGCACAAAGCCAGGCGGAGGGCAGCCACTCTGGCCAAAATCAGTGAACCCTGCCTGGCTCTTCCTCCAGGCTGCTGTTAGGCTTGTCATAGACGAGCTAAATGACTATCTGGCGTATGGTAGGGAGTAAATTCCACCATAAAGCAGGATCCCAACAAGTTATTATGTTGAATTTGGAACTTCTCAGAAACTAATCCAAAATGGCAGCCACCAAGCATAGCAGGGACCCGGCAGGACCCACTGATACTGTGTTCAGTGGGCCTGTCACACACTCAGCTAAGGAGACTGTGTGTCAGAGCTGATCTTTAGACAGAAGTTTATCTTCAGGTGAAGAAAAGAGGAAGCAGAATTCCCACTGAGCTCCTCTTCCAGAAGGTAAAGACCAACGTGCGAACGTTAATTCCAGTGTCACATGTTGAGTTTTTATATGTGTGTACATAATTATATATAGAGATAGACTTGTGTATACACCTTCCACACACATTCTCACAAAGATACGTGTGCTCGATGTATATTCTTGTTTTTCCTGCTCTCAAGTTGGAACTTGCATTGTGATATCAGTTTTGGAAATCCAAAAGTACTGCAATGTGTTGAAATAAGAAATGCTTAATATTGTCCAAAAACTTGTGAATTGTCTTGCCATCAATAAAACAATGCATAGATGTGTTAACTAAAGGCAAAAACAGACCCTGGGAATATGCACACTGTTTGTGTCTGTACCTATATGCACAAGTGTGCATGCCTATATGGGCCAGTACCCCCACCATGGCACACCCCCCAAGTGGTGCTTGTTGGAAGAGTGCTTACTTACCTCGTGAGAGTTCAGAGGAGTCCAGGTGACACTCCCAAGCCTGGCTGGCAGTGAGGGCCATTGCTTGTGGCCCCTAGGACAGCCCAATTTGCAGGGATCTCATTGGGTCTCAGTGAATGAATGGTGGATTTTTATTTTCTTGGTACTAAAGAGTACTTGTTCTTTAAAAATTTTTGTTACAAAGATAGAAACCCAGTCCCCTTCTCATGTGTACACATATCCAGGGTACCATGTTTTTTTTCCATCACAGCCTAGAGTAATAGTAAGAGATGAAGTAGATACAGTGTGGCTTGATGTGGCCTCTGTGAGCCCTCCTTTCCCAACACATACATGACATCCTCTCTCCTGAGCCCAGCTCTCCCAGCCCTGTAGGAGAGGGGGAGGTGGGGAGGGCAGCTGCCTCCGCTCATCCTCCTGTCCTGGTGGCGCCACATTGTTCTGAGTGCCGTCCTCCGGCCTCATCGCCACCCCTCTTCCTGGCTCTGTCAGGGCAGCCAGACCTCCAGCACAGAAGGGCCTTGGCTCCTTGGCTTCCACTGGGGGCAGGTGCCGTCACTGCCCTCTTGCTTGTAGGTAGGATCTTGTCTCAGAGTTGAGGTTCAGTAATGAAATGATCAGATTCCCTTGAAGAGAATGTCATGAAATTCCTCAGCATTCCTGGTGAGAGTATCCCATCATTGCTGCACCCAGGTGGGCTAGCACGAGGCAGAGAGGAAGGACCCTTTTAGGAAATGATTTCAGTTTAGCCAGTGGTTCAGTCTCTCTCCACAGAGCACACTTGACCTGGGAATAGAGCCGGCTTATCTTCTGTAGCCCTCTCTTTTACCTGGAGGAATCTCAAAAAAAAAGAAAAAAAATGCTGTCAGTAAAGCGCCTGTTTTGTGGACATCTGAAAAATCGAGCATATGGTGGAGAAAGCAGAACGTGTGTTTATGAATGCAGACGTGCCAGAGTGAAGGGGTGGTCTCGGCATCTCGAGTGCTAGAGCTGCCGCCGTGTGGTCCAAGGTTAGCAAGCATGCTGACTCGGTCAGAGGCCTCCCTGCCATCACCGTCACCGCACTCTTCCTGTCAGCATCCTCAGTTGGTCTGGGATGGCTCAGGTCTGAGGAGCAATGGCCAGATCAGTTCGAGGGTTTCAGGCAGCAGAAATGAGGATTGGTATGGTGGTAGCTGAGAGTGTGGACACATCTTGAGTGTGATGTTGTCGTTTTCCTGGTGGTGGCAATGCTGGGGACCCCTGCCCTCAAGTACCAGGTGTGACAATAATGGCACCGCTGGCTTCGGTGTCCTGCAGGCAGAGAAGCCTCATTTCTCCACGTGGCAGAAGGCAGGTGAGGGTGTCTGGATGTGAGAACAGGTAGCTGAGGGCTGTGAGGCATGTCTGAGCCACACGAGGGGCAGCCGAGCTGAAGTGTCTGGGCATCAACCAGTGCGCACTAGTTTCCTAACTACCTCTCCCCCAAGAATGTGAGACACTGTCCCCTGGCTACAGCAGAGTGAGGTGGAAGGCTCACAACCCTTCCTGCAGGAAATGCAGGAAAACCAAGTCCGAGAAGGGTGACTTGCTTGTGATTACCCAATAACATGCAAGCAGTCAGAATCAAGTGTTTTCACCCTTCATCTATCGCTGATGTGTGTGTAACAGATGTGACTCTGCACTGGCATGCAGGGCTACAGGGCATGTGTGCTCCTCAGACCATCTCTACTCTGGTTTGGACCTAAAAGTTGGTCCAACGTATCTGAGTACCTTTCAGGCTCCTCCATTGCAAAGAAGGGCCAGCCCCCAAGTCCACTCTGATTATCACAGAAGGGCACCCTTTGGATTTTTTTGTTTGAAATAAACTATTTCAGTGATCCAAAACCTTGAGCTCTCAATGTGTAAACTCCCTGGACACCAGACAACCCCCCACCCTGCCCCTGCTGATGCTCATGGTAGGGTGTGGTTTATCCTTGCAGTGGGATGGGAAGCTTCCTTCCAGTGCGAAGCCTCCGTAGGTGGACAGCCAGCGTGTATCACACGGTGTGTGTCACCTCCCTCCTCACCCAGCCCCAGGGAAGTGATTGGCCATGAGGAGCACAAAGGATAGCATTCCCATCTCACTGGCTCAGCAGGCTTAAATGGCCACATTGACTTTACATAAAACTGTGTAAAATGTGGAAGACTCAGCATGTTGATCAAACAATAAACTGTCCTAATTCTCAACACAAAGCCTCTTGTTTCATGTTTCTAAGCGGTGTGGTTGTAATATTGGTGGAGGGGGTGTGGAAAAAAACAGATTTCTTCAAATGCATGCTCCATGAAGAAGACCCTCCTCACGTCTGGGTGGTGTGTTCACCACCACCCTTTGCTTTTCCCTCCTGCTCCTCATGGGCTCTCAGCTCAGAAGGGGAAAGGGCAGGACACGCTGAGCTTCCATAATCTCCATTCTGCCTGAAGGCTGATGGAAAGGGAAACTCCAGGCAGAACTGAGACTCAGGGCTATGTGTTATCTGGTCATCCCTGCTCTCCACGGTGGCTGAGTGGTAGGAAGGGTGGGTATAGGGGCTGGATCTCTATTCCCATGATTTCTGGGAAGTATTTAAAGGCAAGAATTTAAGATGAACCATAATCACCTTTCAGATGACATGAAGCTACCTCGTATGCCCTCCAGCGTCACCTCACACCAATTAGAGAACATCCCCGAGACAGCCCTTCCGGTCTCAGTCACCTCCAGACTAAAAGGGCCCTGAAGGCCAGGGGACCAACCCAAAGAGAACACAGAGGATCAGCTGCCCTGGTCTGGGAATGCTGGGAATCCTGGGGCCATAGGGAAAGCCAAGTTCACCAGGTCTTCTTTGTCAAGTTCAGCTTCACTATCTTTCTCCTTTAAAGGTTCTAAAAGTTTCTGGAACACCCTCCAATCTGCCAATTCAAGAAGTCATCTCTGATTAGGAGGGGTAGGCAGTAAGATTCCCTGCCCACTGAGCCTAACTTTCCTGGGTGCCAGGTGTAAACTGTGAGGTGGAGGCGGTACCAGGCAAGTCAAGGGGCTGAGGCCTGAGATCCCAAGTGCACATGCCTGTATGAACCAGACCAAAGCCAGAGGAAAGCTGTTCCAGACAGCTTTTCCCAAGACTGGTATTCAGGGCAATGTGACTACAGACAGGAAAGGGAGTGGGTCATCTCCCTGAGCATCATGCTTACACGCACAACATCCAGCAGGTGAAGGAAGCATGCTGCGGCTTCCCAGACGTGAGTGTGAAAACTGGAGTTGTGAATGTCCTACCTGCAGTGCCCTGCAGACCCTCAAGGTATGTTGCTTGAGGTGGTCTCCTCTATCACTGTAGCTGTCTTTTGGTCACCCAGTGACCAAGGGTGCAGAAAGGAGCTTTGATAATCCTATGATAACTGCCCCCCCTGCTTTTTTTTTTTTTAAGCATATTTCAGTTGAAACAAAAATATCTGAAGTCAAAAGAACACTAAGTGCCTCACACAGGATAAGACCAGAGGGGTGGGGTGGGGATGGGGAACACTGGGGTCCCAGGAAGCACTGAGGCCATTCTGGGGCTGCATGGGTGCTGCAGCCAGACAAGAAAGGGCGAAAGTGAGGATGGTACTGAGGCAGCTGACCTTGGGGCATGCAGCATGGTGGGAGGGGGGGCAGGGGGCGTTGCGGACAGAGGTTGGTGCAGCCAAGATGGAGCCCATGCTAATGAGAGGGGAAAGCCGGGGCTATTTCTTCACCTCAGACTGTGACTGTATGCCCACAAAAGCAGGAAGTGTGTCACACTTAGAATTCCCAGATTGGGGCACAGTGCTTGGCATCTTCCAAATGCCATACATGGCTCGTGTGAGTAGTCAACAGGTTAGGACTTCATAGTTGAAAAAGGAAGTGGAACTACTTTTCCTGTGCAAAAGTCAGGTGAGGTAACCACCTTTAAGTTCAAAGGGCTAAAATGGAAGAGGTAAACATTGTAACTGCTGCTAATACACCTTTAGGTAAGAATGGGCATAAACCAATTGAAGCCTTGATTTCATTCTAAATTCAAAACTTAAAAAAAAGAAAAAGAAAAAGCACAATATTCTGGCTGAAATGATCTCAAACCAACAGAACACAGCCAAGTGCCTTTTACACACAGTAGGGCCACCAGAATCCCAGGGGCACTGAGACAGAGAGCATGGGGAAATCTAAGGGCAGACCCCAGGTACTCCCCAGCAACAGCAGTTATTGATGATCAGAAACTAACCTCCAGCAAACAGTCAGGCACCTGGCAGGAGAGGGGCTACCAAGGCCCCAAAATGTTTAGGAAAGTGTTGAAAGAGCTGGAAGGAACAGGCAGCCTCAGTCTGCAGGTGTGCTCTGTACCCAGTGGAGACTCCATCCTGGCAGTGGGTGGTGTTTACCAGGGCAGTCGGTGCATGGGTCTTGTTCGTCACAGCTGCCTCCACAATGGCACTGCATTGCAATCTGCACCTCCCCACTCGCAGAGCACAGGTTCTTTCACATCAGGAGGCAACGGCCCGGGGAGCAGTCTCAGTGCCTCCCAATGCAGTGGCTCAGACACTGCCATGTTCCCATCTATGACACAGTCAGGCTGAGTCTGCTGGCCCTGTGACCTGACATCCCTCTTTCCGCTCTGGCCATACTTGCTCCCAGCCCAAGAAGAAATGGGCCTACTTTGGCTGAATGGCTTCAGGGCCACAGGAAGATAATTTGACCTCCCATTGATAACCCAAGCTCCCAAGGACGAGTCACCATGCTCAGACCCACAGCAATGGGATGACTGTGGCAGAGTTAGGAGGCAGAATGAGAGTGCCCAGAAGGGACTATGTTACCTGCCTGCTTACTTCACCCTGAGAGTAAAACTAAACAGGGCCTGAGACTTCCCTTGCAGTCCAGTGGCTAAGACTCGGTCCAGGTTCCCAATGCAAGGGGCTCGGGTTTGATCCCTGATCATGGAATTAGATCCCACATGCTGCAACTAAGAGTTCTTATGCCACAACTAAAGATCCACCATGCCACAACTAAGACCTGGCACAGTAAAATAAATAAGTTAAAAAAAAAACAACAAAACTAAATATGGTTTGTGGCCCAAAGAACATAACAGAACACATTAAAGGCCCAAGTGATACTCCAGGCCATCTGTGAGACTGCTCCCATGAGTCCCAGGTGTTCGGTCATGTTACACATGCAGATTCCTGAGACCACACGAGACCTACTGCTGAACTGAATGTTCAGACGTGGGGTCCTCAGATGAGCTATTTAACAAGCATCACTTAATTCTGATACATGCTAACATCTGAGAATCACTGTTTGAGATAGAACTTTCCTTTTTCAAAAGATCATCTTTAGGTCTTGAATAAAATTCAACCTTGCGCCCCTTCTTCAGTCACTTGTTTTATGTATTTCTTCCTCTAATGAAGTGAAACACTTTATCACCTCTGGAAAAAAACAGCAATTAACAGTTGATAGCACACGCATGCCCCTTAATGGAAGCATCAAGCCACTGATGTTTATTTAGGTGAGCACTGCCTTTGATTATGTGAACATGTCACATTTATCACATACCTTGTGAGTTTCTGGTTCATTCTTCTTACCTACTTCCTAAAACTACTTGGCTAATAAGGAAAGGGCAAGAAAGAGTCCAAAAGACAGTAAGACATATCAGCAGTGACACTTCCCAATAAGAACCCTGCCAGGGTTGGACTCTAATGGTATCTCTGTGTCAGCTTGGGTTTATTTCATACTCCAGCAGCAAGCCGTGTGATGCAGGGTGTGGGAGCGGGGAAGGGAAAGGGGCTCTAAGGTGGAGCCAGAGTGACACACAGGAATGGAAGACAGCAGGCAGAGGCATGGGCCACAGCACATGTATGTGGGGACCACACTCACTGGGATGTCATTGGCTCCATGCCATTCTCCACTGCTTCTCCCCGACCCTCAAGGCAAGGTTAGGAGCCCCACTGCATACTCCTGGAGCATCCTGCACCTCCTCTTTTATGGCTCTTCCCTCACTGTGCTGGGATTAGTGTTTCACTTATCCACAGCCAGCCCTGTCTCCTTTTTAATCTTTAGTTGGCTTGTCTCTGAGTGTTTGAAGTAGGGAGTGAAGTTCCTATGTACGTTACCATCATTAGGCCCTGGAAATGTGGAGATAGGCCTGAATTCTAACATGTGCTCCCAACTGAATTCACTCTACCATTCTATGTAAATGCTTTGAGCTAGACAGTTTTTATTTCGGGGGGCAGGGGGCTATGATGGGTTTTTGTTGCAGCACAGGCTTCTCTCTAGTTGTGGCAAGCAGGCTACTCTCTAGCTGCAGTGCGCGTGGCTTCTCACTGTGGTGGTTTCTCTTGTGGAGCACGGGCTCCCGGGCGTGTAGGCTTCAGCAGTTGCGGCTCCTGGGCTCTAGAGCACAGGCTCCATAGTTGCTCTGTAGCATGTGGCATCTGCCCAGCTCAGGGATCGAATCTGTGTCTCCTGCACTGGCAGGCGGATTCTTCACCACTGAGCCACCAGGGAAGCCCCATAGACAGGTTGTTCTATTTATCAAGAAATATATTAATCACTTCTCCTGCACTCAGTGCCCAGAGTCTCCTATACTCAGGCGGGTCTCCTGCATTGCGGGTGGATTCTTTATGGACCAAGCCACCAGGGAAGCCTATATATTAATCATTTATAAAAAGCCATTTATAAAGCCATACCTTTAAAAAGATAGCAAAGAACATCACTTTGAAATTGCTTTAAAAAAAACATCAGTGAATGTGCACTTTAAAAATCTACAGAGAACTTTCTTCATTTTGTATTTGTTCCACAGCATTCATGCTATTAGTACAAAAATAGGAGCTCATCAAACAGCACACGAAGATATAGCCCAGAAGCACTCATGCATCAGAAAAACATAACAGCTTCTAAATCTCCATGTGTTCCCCAGTTAAGGGAAAACACTAGAATGGTCATTTCTAGTGTACATTTTAGTAGCATTTGGGGATTTAGCACTTACAGTCCCATCGTCTAGGAATGACTCCAAGAATTCATAACATTTCTGAAACCTAAGTGTTACAAGGCTAGAGTGTGGACAAGTCACTGAGCTGATGAAGAACAGACCACTGTCAGCACAGCCTTGCTGTTTTCAACCTGCCTTTACATGTCCAGAGACCATGTTGTAATTGTACCAGCAAATCTGAAGATTCATGTACTGCCCATGAAGGGTAACTGGAAATCACCCAGATCCACACAAGACAGGTTTGTTTCCAGGATAAGGGGGCCAAAGCACAGAAGCAAAGGATCAGAAAACATTTTAGATGACATCATATTCTCATGATAGTATCCTCTCTATGTGAGGTCCACTTGTCAGACCTCGACCTTACATCAAGCATATACTAAAGGGATCTTACATACACTTTAAAAAGGGAAGACACAAATAAAATAAAATAACTAGTTTGAAAGCAATATGGGAGAACTGAGCTTAAAAAATAAAAATTCCACACTGGTTTCAACAATAATTTGTTTCCAGAATAAGCAAAAGTTCCTAACTATATTTGAAATATTCCCTCCAGACTACCACGTCCTTTTCTAAAACTGTCCTTCACACATACACACATTCACATCTTGTGTTTGGATCTAGTCCTCAGGCGATTTTAGCCAGCCACTTCTCCAAGTCCTGGATGTCAGCAGAGCCAGCATCCCCTCTTCCACCCTTGGCACTGCACTCCAGGAACTCTACTTTGAGCGGCAACTGTGAGAATTCAAATTCTTTGCCTTTCTTCCCCAGCTGAGTAGGGGCAGTGCTGGAACTGTCCAGTGTGCTCGGGGCAGCAGAACGGGTAACCCGTAAAGTATTGCTGTGAGACAAAAGGAAAATGAATCAGGAAGCAAAAAGACCTTAATTCTTATATAACAATTAAAGCCCTTTATAAAATCACATTAATTCCTAAATATTTCAATGCTCATAATTCCTAACTACTGAATCATAAAACTGTCAATTATGCTATTAGGATTGTTAAATAATCCTTTGCTTTACAAGTTATAGGTCACTCTCTCAGACAAGACAGGATAGAGGTCCAACCTAACACGGCCAGATGTTGGTGGCTTAGTTGCTAAGTCATGTCTGACTCTCTGTGACCCCATGGACTATAGCCCAACAGGCTCATCTGTCCATGGGATTCCCAGGCAAATCTACTAGAGTGTATTGCTATTTCCTTCTTCTGGGGATCTTCCTGACCCAGGGATTAAAACCGGGTCTTCGGCACTGCAGGTAGTCTCCTGCATGGCAGGCAGATTCTTCATCAAGTGAGCCACCAGGAAAACCCACATGGCCAGATGACAGGGGGTCAGTAATGAACCAAGGTCACACCAACCTTCTTTCAGCACAGTGCCCCCTTCTACTGGGATTTCCTGCATGATGCCATTTTAAGATATATTTTTACATTACCTGCTGGTTTCAAAACCTTAAGTTTCTGAAAGTGAAGTCGGGGTAGGTAGATATTTATATTTATCTTGAGTCTATCTGGATACAGAGCTTAGAAATCTACAAATTGCAGGTTCTCATATGCAGTCCAATCTCTTTGCAATTCTGCTAACACCTTCTCAATTTAAGTCACTTAACTGCCACCTGCAGGCCTTAATAAGAAGTGCAAAAGCAAGGCTCACTGGGTCTATTTCTCTCCCCAGAAGCAGAGGAACATGTGCTGACAAAATAAAGGATGACTTAGTACTATAAGATTTCATGAAAACTAGTGCAGAATCCATATGAAAAACTAACTACCTTGTTCAGAAAGACACACATATGGGAAAAGTATTTTAAAAACAATTAATAGGAGGAAAAGCCTTTGAGGAGGTGCACAAAGGGACTTCTAAGAAAGGTGTCAGGGCCATGGGTCTTCATCTCACTGTCTTCAAATTCAATACATGTGTCACATATGCTCTTTTATATGTAAAATATTTTACAAAAAACTCAAAAAAAAAAAAATCCAAACATTATATTCAGCTCTTTTCATTCAGAAAACTATGAAATGTTTCAAAGCTGATAAGGCCTAATTCTCACAAACACAGGATTAAACTAAACTTAGACTCCTAATTTAACTGATATTAATCTTTGTAACTTTTTAACATTTTATTTCACTGCCCTTATAATACAGCATTTCTTTCTGTATTGTTTTTCTATGGCTCTTTAGAATGAAAAGCAAATGAATCAAGGAAAACATATTTTATACATGGGAAGACTTGAACCATGCTGTTTAAAAAAATGGATACACATGAACTTACTCATAAAACAAAAGAGACTCACAGAGAATAATCTTATGGTTGCTGGGGGAAAGGGTGGAGGGTAAGGGATAGTTAGGGAGTTTGGGATGGACGTACACATCGCTGTATTTAAAATGGATAACCAACAAGGACCTACTGTATAGCACATGGAACTCTGCTCAATGTTACGTGGCAATCTGGATAGGAAGAAAGTTTGAGGGAGAATGGACATATGTATATGTATGGCTGAGTTCCTGTACTATTCAACTGAAACTATCACAACATTGTTAGTTGGCTATATCCCAATACAAAATAAAACAAGTTTTAAAAAAATGCTATACAATTTTCAAAAAATGGATATACAAATAATATTATTACTTTCCCCCAAAGATAATGCTCAACAATTGCAACAGAAATTTTAGAAAAACAAATCACCTAGCTCCAATTTTCTTAGCTTTGGCAGTCTCGAGAGTGAACATCAAGATAGGAGAACAGACGATGAACATGCAATTTCAGAAGGGATAGAAACCATTGAGTAACACCAGCAAGATGACAGAATGGGAGTTTTCAGCATAAGTCCTCTCACAGAAACATCAATTTAAATAACCATCCACACAGAAGAATACTTTCATGAGAGCTAGGAATCCAGGTCAGAGACTACAGCACATGGGTATAATACAGAAGTAAGAGAGTGTGCATTGAAGAGGGCAGAAGGGACAGTTTCAAATCACCATGTTACTGCTCCTGCAAGCCTGCACAGTGTAGCATGGAGACATATGATGTACACAGGAGAGGGAGAGTGAAATGAGCACCCACTGTGTCATGGAACCCAGCACCAGGCCAGCCCCAGTAGACACAGGCACCTGTCCAGCCAAGACAGGTTCAGTTTCCAGGCTAGCTTCCATGGACCCAGGCAGCAGGCCCACCCACCCACAAGCCCATGAGCAAACCCAACCTGCCCGAGAAATCCAGTAGCAAGCCCATCCAGATCTCTGGCTGGACAGACTAGAGAACCACTTTCTCTGACAAAGCTAGTCAATAAAGGCTAGAAGGGGTGATTATTTTTTCAAATGTGCAGACATCAAAATAAGGACATAAGGCTCATAAGTAATCAGGGAAACATGACACCACTACAGGAACATGATAAAGCACCAATAACTGGCCCCAAAGAAATGGAGATCTACAAACTGCCTGACATATAATTCAAAATAATCATCTGAAAGTCCTGTAAGCTATAAAAGAACATAAGACAACTCAACAAGATGAGGGAAAGACTAAATGAAAAAAATCAGAAAGCCAACAAAGATATAGAAATCATGAAAAACAAAAATTCTGGAGTTGAAGAACACAATGACTGGATGTGAAAAACTCAGAAAGCTTAACAGCAGACTCAACCAAGCAGAACAAAAAAATCAGAAAGCTTGAACAGAGGTAATTTGAAATTACTCTGTAAGAAAACCAAAAAGAAATTGTGAGAAAAGAAAGAAGAAAATCTTGTGGGACATCATAAAAGGAACCAATGTATGCATTATGGGGATCTCAGAAACAGCAGATAAAGACAAAGAATCAGAAAGCTTATTTAAAAAAAAAAAAAAGACAGCAAATCCCCAAATATGGGGAGGGAAATGAACATCCAGATCCACTAAGCTGCTAAAACACAAATGGATTAAATATAAACAGAACTTTAATGAAATACATTATAATCAAATTGACAAAAGTAAAAGAAATTGCTCAAAGCATTAAGAGAAAAGTCAACCAGCACAAACAAGGGAAACTCCATAAGACTAAAGGTGGATCTCATAGCAAAAACCTTGCAGGTCAGTGGAGATTGGGATGATATTTTCAAAATGCTGGAGGAAAAAAACATCCATCCAATAATACTATACCCAGAAAAGCTGTCCTTCAGCTATGAAAGACAGATAAAAGTTTTCCTAAACATACAAAAGCTGCAGGAGTTCACCACCACTAGTCCTAACTCATAACAAATGCTGAAGAGAGTGAATCTTCAAGGTGAAGTACCTATGACTACAAGAACTTATTAATGGATACACAATATAAAAAGATGTAAATTGTGACATAAGCAACATAAAATGTGGGGGAAAGAGAAGTTTATGTTTAGAATTTCTTTATACAGTCCAAGTTGTTATTAGCTTAAAACAGACTGTCAGTGTTATGTTTTATATAAGCTCATTACAATCACAAAGAAAATATCTGTAGTAAACACACAAAATAAGAGAAAAATTCACAGCATTATAACACAAAAGCAATCATATTACAAAGGAAGAAAGAGATAAAGGAACTATGAAACAGTCAGAAAACAATAAAAAAAATAGAAGAAGTTCTTACCTGTCAATAATTACTTTAAAGGTAAATGGTTTAAATTCCCCATTCAAAATACAGAGTGGATAAATGGATAAAAAACTGAGACTAAACAATATGCTACCTCCAAGAGATGAACTCTCAATTTAATGTTCAAAAGGACAGAAAGATATAATTCTATACAAATGATAAACAAGAGAGTAGGGCTGAACACATATATATCAACAAAATTGACTAAGTCAAAATTGTCATGAGAGACAAAGGTTATTACATAATAAATAAATAAAATCATCAAAAGAATAAAATGTTTATGTATACACACACACACACATATATATATGCATTTAATATCAGAGAACCTAACTATATAAATATCAGCAGAACTGAAGAGAAAAATAGACAGCAATACAATAATAGAAGGGCACTTCAATACTTTCAACAATCATCCAGACAGAAAGTCAACAGGTAAACAGCATATTTGAACAATACTAAAGACCAACTATACCAACCGACATATACAGAACACTACTTCTAACAACTGAAGAATACCTTAAAGTATACATGGAATATTCTCCAGGATAGTGCATATGTTAGGCCAAAAAATAAGTCTTAAGAAAAATTTAAGAAGACTGAAATCATATCAAGTAACTTTTCTGATCACAATGATGTATGAAAATAGAAATCAGTAACTGAAGGGAAACTGGGAAATTCACAAATACGTAGAGATTAAACAACACACTTCTGAACAATGAGTAAATCAAAAAAAGAATCAAAAGGCAAAATTTTTAAAATTTTAACACAAAAATGGAAACCCAAGATTTGAAAAGTCACAGGATGAAGCAAAAGGCATTTTAAGAGGGAATTTTATAGCAATAAACATCTACACTAAGGAAAAAGCTCTCAGGTACAGGTAAACAATCTAACTTCGTATCTCAAGAAACTAGAAAAAGAACAAGTTAAGCCAAAAATTAGCAGAAGAAAATAAAATATAAACATCAGAGCAGATATAAGTGAAACAGACTAGAAAAACTGAAAATATCAATGAAATTAACAGTGTTTTGCAAGATAACCAAAATTGACACACCTTTAGCTAGAATAATGAAGAAAAAGATGACTAAAATAAATAAAATCAGAAATGAGACACTGTAACTGATACCACAGAAATATAAAGGATTATAAGTGATGACTATGAACAAATTGAATAATCAATCAAAGAAATGGATAAATTCCTAGAAACACACAACCTACCAAGATTAAATCATGAATAAATAGAAAATCTGAAGAGACCAAGAGAGGAAGAAGATTGAATCAGCAGCAAAAAACCTCCCAACAAAGAAAAGCCCAGGAGCACATGGCTTCACTGGTGAATTCTACCAAACATTTAAAGAAAAATCAATACCAGTTCTTCTCAAACTTCCTTAACAATGAAAGAAGTGTTAACACTTGCAAACTCATTTTACAAAAACAGCATTACCCTGATATCAAAGCTAGACAAGGATATTAACTACCAGTAATGAAAATTACAGGAGACTATCCCTGTGAACATAGGTGCAAAAATCCTCATCAAAATATTAGCAAACCAAATTCAACAGTATATTAAAGGATCATACATCATAATCAAGTGGGATTTGCCCAAGATGCAAAGATGGCTCAACATTTGTACATAAATGAGATAGATACACCACATTAATAGGCTGAAGGAAAAAAATCTTCTGATTATCTCAATAGATGTAGAAAAAGCATGTGACAAAATTCAACATCCCTTCATGATAAAAACTCAATAGTTATAGAAAGTATATACCTCAAAATAAAAATGCCATATATGACAAGTCCACAGATAACATCATACTCAGTGGTGAGAAGCTAAAAGCTTTCCCTCTAAGACTAGGAACAAAATAAGGATGCCTACTCTTGCCAGTTCTATTCAACACAGTACTGGAAGTCCTGGACAGAGCAAATAGGCAAAAATGAAATAAAAGGCATAAAAATCAGAATGGAAGAAGCAAAATTATCTCCGACTTCAGCTGGCGTGATCTTAAATACAGAAAACCCTGAAGACTCCACCAAAAAACAGAACTAATAAACTCAGTAAAACTGCAGGATACAAAATCAACATCCAAAAACCAGTTCTGTTTCAATGCACTACTAATGAACTATCAGAAAAAAAAATTAAGAAAACAAGTCCATTTATAATAGCATCAAAAACAATAAAATACTTAGGCATAATACAAAGCAGTTCAAAGAGCTGTACACTGAAAACTGTAAAACAGTGACAAAAGAAACTGAAGATACAAATAAATGGAAAGACATCCCTTGTTCATTTACATTGTTAAAATGTCCATCTGTAGATTCAATAAGCTCCGGGAGTTGGTGATGGACAGGGAAGCCTGGTGTGCTGCAGTACACAGGGTTGCAAAGAGTTGGACACGCCTAGGTGACTGAACTGATAGATTCAATGGAATCTCAATCAATATTTCAATGGAGTTTTCCACAGAAATAGAAGAAACAATGCTGGAATTCATACGGGACCACAAAAGAACTATAATGCTCAAAGTAATCAAGTAAAAACAATAAATCTGGAGGCATCACACTTCCAGGTTTCAAATTATACTGCAAACCTACAGTAATCAAAACAATATGGTACTTTAAAAAGACATACAGAACAATGGAATAGACGGCCCAGGACATACCAACACATATACAGTCAACTAATCTTCAACAAAGATGACAAGAGTATATAATGGGAAAAGGACAGTCTCTTCAATAAAGAGCTCTGGGAAAACTGGATATCCACATGCAAAACAATGAAACTGGACCCTCATGTTATACTATATACTAAGTCAACTCAAAATGGATTAAAGGCTTAAATATAAGACCTGAAACCATAAATATCCAAGAAGAAAACACTGACACTGTGGCAGTTATTTTAAGATATGAGACTAAAAGCAAACAAAAGCAAAACAAACAAGTGTGATTACATCAAACTAAAAAGCTCCTGCAGAGCAAAAGAAACTATCTACAAAATGGAAAGATAACCTATGGAATGGGGGCAATATTTGCAAACATGTATCTGGTAAGGGTTAACATCCAAAATATATAAGGACTTCATACAACCCAGTAAAAAAACAAATAATTCAATTTAAAAAGTGGGCAAAAGGTCTTCCCTGGTGGTCCAGTGGCTGGGAGTCCGCCTTGCAATCAAGGGACATCAGTTCGACCCCTGGTCAAGGAGGATTCCACATGCCGCAGAACACTAGGCCCATTCACCACACTTACTGAGCCCACATGCTTGAGTCCTAAAGCCCATGCTCCACGCCGAGAGGAGCCACTGCAAAGAGAACCTGCAGAGCACATCAAAGAGTATCCCCAACTCGTCACAACTACAGAAAGCCCACACCCAACAACAAAGACCCAGCACAGCCAAAAGTAACTAACTAAATAAAAAAAATTTTTAATGGGCAAAAACAGACATAGAGGACATACAAACAGTCAACAAGTACATGAAAAAATGCTAAACATCACTAACCATCAGGGAAATGCAAGTCAAAACCATAATGAGACAGAATTACTAACATTAAGGGGGAAAAAAAAAAGATAAACGTTGGCAAAGATATGCAGAAAAGGTAACCCTCTTACATTGTTGGTGGGTGTTTGATTCCTCAAAAAATCACAAACAGAACTACTACCACATGATCTAGCAATTCCACTTCTGGATGTTTATCTAAAGGAACTGAAATCAGGATCTCAGAGAGATGTACATACATGCACTCCCATGTTCACTGCAGCATTATTAACAATAGCCAATATATGGAGCAACCTAAATGTCCACCGAAGGAAGAACAAAGAAAATGTGGAACATATATACAAGAGTATTACTGAGCCCTACAAAAGAACTCTGCCATTTGTGACAACCTGGATGAACCCAGAGAACATTATGCTAAGTGAAATAACATAAACAGAATAAGACAAATACCATATGATTACACTTATGTGTGGAATCAAAACCTGTCAAACATAAGCCAAACGATACTCACACATCTTGAAAACAAAAAAAAACATGTTACAAAATGGTATCACAGGTTTTTGTATTTTTCTGAAGTGTTCCTTTCTTATTTTGTCAACAAAAATTTCCATGGCTTTCAAATTTTTTGTTTTTAAAACCTTTCACATCTACTATAAGCTATAGCTAGAACTAGTGGGAAAACAAATTGAGTTTACAGCTTCAATAAACCTGAGAATTTTTTCCCATGAAAATGTTAAATATTTATAAACATCCCATTAATACTTTTTATAATTGCATTAATTCTGTTCTCAATTTTTAAACAAGTATATTTCACACTAATCTTCAGGATAATCATGGAAATCACATAAAACCAAAGACCTTAAGCAATATATACATATTTCCTAAGTGATAAGATATACAATTAACCAGTAAGACTTATTTTTACTTACATTTCTTTTTCAAGCTGCTGCTGAATTAACTTTGCTGATTTTGCCATTGTAATGTCTGTAAAGAAACAAAAGACATTGTTTAAAGCAAGGTCTTTTCCCAAGACTTTCTGCACATATGGAAAATTCCCATTTAAATTTAGGTTTCTTTGCCCCACCATTTTAAAAAAATTTTATTTTATATTGGATTATAGTTGATTTATGTGCTTCCCTGGTGGCTCAGGTGATAAAGAATTCACCTGCAATGCAGGAGACCCACGTTCGATCCCTGGATCAGTGAGATCCCCTGGAGAAGGAAATGGCAACCTACTCCAGTATTCTTGCCTGGGAAACCCCACAGACAGGAGCCTGGAGGGCTATAGTCCCTGGGGTCACAAAGAGCTGGGACACGACTGAGTGACTTTCACTTTCATAGTTGATTTGTAATGTGTTACGTTTCAGGTGTGCAACTAAGTGTTTCATTTACACATATACATATATCTATTCTTTCTCAAATTATTTTCCCATTGAGATTATTACAGAATACTAAGCAGTTCCCTGTGCCTGACAACAGATCCTTGTTGGTTATTTATTTTAAATATAGTAGTATGCTTGTGTTTAGTTGCTCAGTCATGTCTGACTCTTTGTGACCCCATGGACTGTAGCCCAACGGGCTCCTCTGTCCATGAGGATTCTCCAGGCAAGAATACTGGAGTGGGTTGCATGACCTTACCCAGGGATTGAACCCAACCCAGTGATTGAACCCAGGTCTCCACATTGCAGGTTAATTCTTTACTGTCTGAGAAGGGAAGTCCATAGTAGTGAGTACATATCAATCCCAAACTCCCAGCTAATCCTTCCCTCCCATTATCAAAGTAAGCACAAATATTCATATTATAATAATGCTTATAAATATATTAAGCTGGTGACCCTAAAATTGACTAGTCTTTCATAGAAGTTTTCCACATCTTACAGACATTTTAAATCAACACATATAAGTCCAGCCAATGCTGATAAAAAGAGAAGCTACCTGCTTTGTGATTTTAATAAAAGTTTTCATTCCAACAGAAATACTCAACCTGTAATACGAAACTAAACTAACATTTCCAGTTGATACTAAAATGGTATGTTACAGCATTAAGTGCACTCTGGTAATAAAAGGCACTGGTTTGGCACCAGCAAAAGCCAAATAAATACTACTTCCTCTTTTTATACTGAATAAAAGAAACAAAGAAGTCAGTTAATGACCTTAATACTATTCCTGATTAGTCACTGGTAGGGTTATTACTAGCTCCCCTATAAGAAATTCATTGGGCTCTTCATAGAATGAGAATATTAGGTATGAAAAAGGTCAATAGAAATCAGCTAGTCTATCTCACTCTAACTTTTTTTAAGGAAAGAAGTTTATCTTATAATTGAGGTCACACTGGTTTACAACATTATATGTTTCGAGTGAAACATTATGATTCAGTTTTTGTATACACTATTTCTGTGCTTACTACCAAAAGTTTAGTTTCCATCTATATTTTCAAGTGTTTTTGTTATCTTTGGATAAATACCCAAAAGCAGACTGACTGGATCACGTGGTAGTTCTATTCTTAGCTTTTTGAGGAATGGCCACACTGTTTTTTACAGTGGCTACACCAATTCACAATCCCATCAACAGTGCACAACAACAAGGCTCCCTTTTCTCCATATCCTAACACATTTCTTTTTAACAATGACTCTAATGGGTGGGAGGTAACGTCTAACTGGTGCTTTGATTTGCATTTCCCTAATAATTAATGATACTCATCTTCACTAGTGATGAACATCTTCACATGTGCCTGCTGACCATGTGTATATCTTTTTTTGGAAAAACGTCTATTCTGATCTCTGCCCATTTTTAAATCAGGCTGTTCATTTTTGCTGTTGTTGAGTTATATGGGCTCTCCCTTATCAGATATATCTGACTATCTTCTCCCATTCAGTACGTTGTCTCTTTCATTTTGTTAATGGTTTCCTTTGCTGTGCAGAGCTTTTTAGTTTGATATAGTACCACTTGTGTATTTTTGCTTTTGCTTGCCTTGCCTGAGGAGATACATCCAAAAACAAATTGCTAAACCCAATGTCAAAGTCTGAATTTCCTGTTTTCTTCTAAGAGTTTTATGGTTTCAGATCTTCTATTCAAGTCTTTAATCCATTTTGAATTAACTTTTGTGTAGGGCGTAAGAAATGGCTTAGTTTCATTCTTTTTCTTGTGGCTGTACAGTTTTTCCACCAATATTTATTGAAGAGACTGTCCTTTCTCCATTGTATGTTCTTCGGTCCTGTGTTGTAAATTAATCATCCATGTATGTGTGGGTTTATTTCTGGGCTCTCAATTCTGTTCCATTAACCTCTTTTTCTGTCAAATACCATGCTATTTCGATTACAATAGCTTTGCAGTATAATATGAAATCAGGGTATGTGATACTTCCCTCAGCTTTGTTCTTTTTTCTCAGAATTGCTTTGCCTTTTCATACTTTTTTATGGTTCTGTATAAATGTAAGGAACTTTTATTCTATTTATGTGAAAAATGTCATCAAGGATTTTGATAGGGATTTTTACAATGAATTTATAGATTGCTTTAGAAAAAATGGACATTTTTAGCCATATTAATTCTTACAATCCATGAGCATGAAACATCCTTCATCTTTCCATTTCTTTAAATCAAGTTTTATAGCATACTGTGGAATCCTAGCTCCCCAGTCAGGGATTGAACCTGCACCCTCAAGCAGTGAAAGCACAGAGGCCTAATCACTGGCAGGAAATTCCCATCCTTGATTAAATTTATTCTTGGGTATTTTTTTATTCTTTTTGCTGCAATTTTAAATGATAGTGTTTTCTTAATTTCTCTTTCTGCTTGTTTTTGTTGGTGTACAGAAACACAACAGATTTTGTATCTGTTTGCAAATCAATTTGCATCTTGCGACTTTACCATACTCATTTATTATTTCTAACAGGCTTTTGGTGGAGTCTTCACGTATGAGACTGATAAGAATGGGCACACTTGTCTTGTTCCTGATCTTAAGAGGCACAGCTTTCAGTTTTTCACAGTTGAGTATATTAGCTGTGGGTTTGACAAGCATAGCCTTTATTATGTTAACGTACATTCTTTCTATACCAGTTTCATTGACTTTTTATCACACATGGATGTTGAATTTTGCTGAATACTTTTTCTGCATTTATTGAGTTGATCATTATTTTTAAAATGTTGTAGCATGTTGATTTGCAGATGTTGAATCATCCCTGCAACCCTGAAATAAATTCTACTTGATTATATTGTATGATCCATTTAATGTGCTGTTTTATTTCATTTGCTAATACTTTGTTGAGGGTTTCTGCATCTACGTACATCAGAGATACTCACCTGTAATTTTCTTTTTTTGTATTATCCTTGTCTGGCTTTGATATCATGGTACTGTTGGCCTCAAAAAATTAGTTGGGAAGTGTTCCCTCCTCTTCAACTTTTTGGAAGAGTTTGGCTCAGATGGTAAAGAGTCTACCTGCAGTGGGAGACCCGGGTTCAATTCCTGGTCAGAAAGATCCCCTGGAGAAGGAAATGGCAAACCTCTCCAGTATTCTTGCCTGGAAAATCCCATGGATGGAGAAGACTGGCAGTCTACAGCCCATGGGGTCCCAAAGAGTCAGATATGACTGAGTGACTTCACTTTCACTTTCAAGAAGAACAGATATTAGGTCATCTTTGAACATTTGGTAGCATTTACCAGCGAAGCTGTCTGGTCCTGGACTCTTTGATTTTTTGGAAGGTTTTTGAATACTGTTTTAACCTCCTTACTAGTGATCCATCTATTCAGATTTTCTACTTCTTTAAGATTCCATCTTGGAAGGTTGATTGTTAAGAATGTATTCATTTATTCTATGTTGTCTAATTTGTTCACACATAACTACTCACAGTATTCTCTTATAACTCTCTGCATTTCTGTGGGACCTCTTGCAATTTCTTTTCCATTTCTAATTTTATTTATCTGAGCCTTCTCTTGTTTTCTTAGTGAGTTTAGCTAAAGGTTTGTTGATTTTGTTTATCTTTTCAAAGAACCAGCTCTTAGTTTCATTGATCTTCTCTACTGCCTGACTTTTAGTATTTCCTTCGTTCTACTGACTGTGGACTTAATTTGAAGTTCTTTTTATAGTTGCTTTAGGTATAAGGACTGTTGGGCTTTTTCATTTCTCTTTCATTTCTTGAGGTAGGCAAGTATTGCTATAAACTTGTTCTGCTTTTGATGTATCCCACTGATTTTGGTATTCCATATTTTCATTTATCGTCAGGTCTATTTTTTCCTCCTTTGATTTCCTCATTAACCTAGTATTAGGTTGGTGAAAAAGTAACTGCGGTTTCAGATGGTGAACTTTAAATCACTATAACTAGGTTCAAACACACCTTTATTAATCAAAATAGGAACCATTACAGTCAACACATTTTTGCCAACAAGAAATGCTTGTTTATTCCTGTAGCATAAAAATCTGTGCTTTGAGATTCAACAAACTCTTGGAAAGCATTTTCCGCCTCCTGATGGTTGTGGAAGCATTTTCAGCCTCCTGGTTGTGGAAGCATTTTCCCTGCAAAAAGTTCTCAAGATGTTCAAAGAAATGGTAGTCAGTTGGCAAGAGGTCAGGTGAATATGGTGGATAAGGCAAAACTTTGTAGCCCAATTTGTTCAACTTTTGAAGTGTTGTGCAACATGTGGTTGGGTGTTGTGAAGAACTGGGCCCATTCTGTTGATCAGTACTGGCTGCAGGCGTTGCAGTTTCCAGTGCTTCATATCGATTTGCTGAGCATACTTCTCAGATTCAATGGTTTCACCAGGCTTCAGAAAGCTGTAGTGGATCACCAAACAGTGACCACGAATTTTTTTTGGTGCAAGTTTGCTTTGGGAAGTGTTTTGGAGCTTCTTCTCAGTCCAACCACTGATTTGGTCATCACTGGTTGTCATGTAAAATCCATTTTTCATCACACATCACAATCTGATTGAGAAATGGTTTGTTGTTGCATAGAATAAAACATGACACTTTGAAACGATGATTTTTTTTGATTTTCAGTCTGTTCATGGGGCATCGACTTATCAAGCTTTTTCACCTTTCCAATTTGCGTCAGATACCAAATAACTGTACAATGGTCGACAATGAGTTCTTCTGCAACTTCTCATGTAGTTGTAAGAGGATCACCTTCAATGATCTTCTCTACTGGTTGCTGTCAATTTCCAATGGCTGACCACTGCGTTTCTCATCTTCAAGGCTCTCATCTCCTTTGCAAAACTTCTTGAACCACCACAGCACTGTACGTTTGCTAGCAGTTCATGGGCCAAATGTGTTGTTGATGTTGCAAGTTATCTATGCTGCTTTATAACCCATTTTGAACTCAAATAAGAAAATCGCTCGAATTTGCTTTTTGTCTAACACTCACTTCCCTAGTTTAAATATAAACAGCAAGTAATGTCATTAGTAAAAATAATAATAATAAAGCGAGAAATGCACATTAAAATGGTGTATAAGATAACCACATATAAAGAATGTATTCCAATATCAAACAGCAAAGTTCAACAATGCATAACCACAATTACTTTTGCAGCAACCTAAATAGATGTTTGGCAGAATGTTGTTTATTCTTCACATATTTGTGATTTTATCAGCTTTCTTTTTATAGTTTTATTTCTAGTTTCATATCTTTGTGGTTCAAAAAGATGCCTGATATGATTTCACTCTTATATTTATTGAAGCTTGTTTTGTATCCCAACATATTGTCTATTTGTGAGAATGTTCCATATGCACTTGAGAACAATGTATATTCTGTTGCTTTGGGAAGGAATGTTTCGTGTTCTGCTCTAACACTCACTTAAGGCCAATGGTACTTTGCTAATTTTTTGTCTAGATGATCAATTTATTGATGTAAGTGGGATATAAAGCTCCCTATTGTTATTGCTGTTGACTTCTTCATTTATATCTGTTAATAATTCCTTTTATACTCTGGTGCTTCTGCTTACATGCTTAAATATTAATAAAAATTACATCTTAATGGACTGTCCCCTTCATCATTATATAAGTTCATCCTGTTCTCTTATTTGACTTGAAGTCAATTTGATCTGATCTGAGATGGCTATACCTGCTTTGTTTTGCCTGCCATTTCTTGGAGTATCATTTCCCATCCATTCACTTCGAGCCTATGTTTCTCTTCAGAGCAGAGATGAGTCTGGGAGGCAGGATGTAGTTGGATCTTGTTTCTCAATACATCCAGCCACCCCATGTCTTTCGATTGGTAAATTCAATCCACTTATATTTAGCATGATTACTGATAAATGGGGCTCCCTTGGTGGCTCTGTAGGTAAAGAGTTCACCTGCAATGGAGGAGACCCATGTTCGATCTCTGGATCAGGAAGATCCCCTGGAGGAGGAAATGGCAATCCACTCTAGTACTCTCGCCTGGAGAGTCCCATAGACAGAGGAGCCTGGCAGGCTACAGTCCATGGGGTCGCAACAAGTTGGGACACGACTGAGTGACCTAACACTTTCACTTTTTCACCAATAAATGAGGACTTAGCCATTTTATCTTTAGTTTTCTGGTTGTTCTATATATATCTCCATTGTTCCTGCCTGACATCTTAGTTGATGGTTTACTGTCATGTTTTTCTTAGCTTCCTCCTCTATTACATTTCATGTTTCAAGACTTACATTTCGTGGGTTACCATTAGATTTGTATAAAACATCTCATAGATAACTTAGTCCTTCTGTTGATAGCATCTTATATTGATTTGCCATTGTATGAGTTCTGTTCTTTTTCTCTTCCCCTTTTACATTTTGTCAACTCAAATTATCTCTTTTTATACTGTGAGTTCATTACCAAATTCCAGTAGCTATGGGTATTTTTACTGCTTTTTCTCCTTTAACCTTTAGGCAATAATTGTTTAGCAACCTATTCTGATGTAAAGTTGCAATTTTCTGAATCTACCTACCTGTCACCTTACTCTAAGCTATTTAGTCTCAGCCAATAAAACTAGGGTTTAGTTTTATTACTTTTAAAACCAGATTAGAAGTGGTGTCAGCATCATGAGGTGTGTAGACTAAATAGCCTTTCATTCTTATGAAGCTAAAGAAAAACACTTCTGCAAACTCTGCTTGATGAAATATGCTAGATGGCAAACTTGTTTAAATGGAGAGACTCTACCCTGTCCTTCCTCGATTGTGTATCTGATAAGACATACTGTTGATCTGATGAACTTAACTTGGTAAATTAAAATTATTTATGATTAAAAAAACACTGTATAAATGAATGGTAATAATCATTCCTTTGTCACTCTTTAGAATAGTCTGGTAAGGGAGACTAAAGAAGTTGTTGGAGTATAAATAAACTTTAAGATTTAAAATCCTTAATTTATAGCCATTAGCAATTGTCTCTCATCCTCAGTAATAACAACTGTAGATAACTATTAATTCTTAGTAGGAATCCCAGAAAAATCTCAACTGTTATTGCCAGAAAACATGATAGTACCTTGTTTATTACAAGCGATTAAGAATGATGGTGTGTTCTTCAGACCTATACTGTCGAGGAGGACTTGATACAGAAACTCAGCCACGTCTTTTACCTCTCGCTGGAAGGCTGCACTATCCACAACAAACACAATAGCCCTGGAGGGGAAAAAAAAGAAAAACTGGCATGTAAGCATGCAATAGTGAAGCAGTATGTTGAAAAATGATATCCCTAATTTTGTTCAATTCAATCCTAATGAATAACACAAAATAAGCTCACATACAGGTGTGTGCACAAGTAATCATAAAACATAAGTATTTAACAAAGGACTAGTGAGTGCCATCACGTATTGATATTTAAAATCCTAGAAGACGATCCTGTTAAAGTGCTACATTCAATATGTCAGCAAATTTGGAAAACTCAACAGTGGCCACAGAACTAGAAAAGGTCAGCTTTCATTTCAATCCCAAAGAAGGGCAACACCAAAGAATGTTCCAACTACCATACAATTGCATTCATTTCACATGCTAGTAAGGTTTTGCTCAAAATCCTTCAAGCTAGGCTTCAGCAGTACATGAACTGAGAATTTCCAGATGTATACGCTGGGTTTAGAAAAGGTAAAGGAACCAGAGATCAAATTGTCAACATTCTTTGGATCATAGAAAAAGCAAGGGAATTCCAGAAAAACATCTACTTCTGCTTCATTGACTACATTGAAGACTTTGACTGTGTGGATCACAACAAACTGTGGAAAATTCTGAAAGAGACAGGAATACCAGACCACCTTACCTGCCTCATGCAAAACCTGTATGCAGGTCAAAAAGCAACAGTTAGAACAGGACACAGAACAATGGATTGGTTCAAAATTGGAAAGCAGTACATCAAAGCTGTATAGTGTCACCCTGCTTGTTTAATTTATAAGCAGAAATGACTGACTGGATGAATCACAAGCTGGAATCAAGATTGCCAGGAGAAATATCAACAACCTCAGATACACAGATGACACTGCTCTAATGGCAGAAACTGAAGAGGAACTAAAAAGCCTGATGATAATGGTGAAAGAGGAGCATGAAAAAGCTGGCTTAAAAAAATGATCATGGCATCTGGCCCCATCACTTCATGGCATACAGAGGGGAAAAAAGTGGAAGCAGTGACAGATTCTATTTTCTTGGGTTCCAAAATCACTGCAGATGGTAACTGCAGCCATGAAATTTTTTAAAAGATACTTGCTACTTGGAAGAAAAACTATGACAAAGCTAGACTGTGTATTAAAAAGTAGAAACATCATTTTACTGACAAAGGTCCATGCAGTCGAAGCTATGGTTTTTCCAGTAGTCATGTACAGAGTTGGACCATAAAGAATGCTGAGTGCTGAAAAATTGATGTTTTCAAATTGTGGTGCTGGAGAAGACTCTTGAGAGGCCCTTGGACTACAAGATCAAACCAGTCAGTCCTAAAGGAAATCAAACCTGAATATTCTTTGGAAGGACGGATGCTAAAGCTCCAAAACTCTGGCTACCTGATGCAAAGAGATGACTTACTGGAAAAAGGTCGCTTGGAAAGGCTGAAGGCTAAAGGAGAAGGGGTGGCAGAGGATGAGGTTGTTAGGGAGCATCAGTGACTCAATGGACATGAATGTGAGCAATCTACAGGAGACAGTGAACCACAGAGGAGCTTGGCATGGTGCAGTCCACAGGTTAGCAAAGTTGGACATGATTCAGCAACTGAGTAACAGAAATGAATCAATGACTGTATCTAAAAAGACAATAGGAAATGATGCTTCCTCTCAAGTCCAGGAAATTGTCATATACAAAATCATGTGATAAGACACTACAACAGACATTATATCTGCTAGGAAACAAAAAGGAAGATCATTTACATATAACTAGATCAAGACAACTTAAAGGAGGGTGTAATTAGTTGAGTGAATTTTAGCCAGACAAAATATCATTGTGGCACAGATTGTCTAGAAAGTAGTTTGTGCAGGGCACAAATGCCCTGGAGAACTCAATGTAAGCTAACACACAGACAGATGTGGAAATGAAGGAAAGTTAGGTTAGAGAGAAGAGGGATGTGACACACGATCTATAGAGTTTATGTTTTTCTGTCTTACAAAGAATGTTGTTGTTTAGTTGCTAAGTCATGTCCAACTCTTGTGACCCCATGGATTGTAGCCCCCCATGCTCTTCTGTCCATGGATTTACCAGACAGGAATACTGGAGTGGGTTGCCATTTCCTTCTCCATGGTATCTTTCCAACCTAAGGATTGAACCTGTGTCTCCCGCATTGGCAGGTGGATTCGTTACTGCATCTTAAAAAGAATATTGGTGCCTGAATGAAAGATAAAACTAAGAGGATAACCAAACTAGAAGCAGAGTGATCAGGTAGGGTCTACCCTAAGGCAGCAACAGTGAGAATCTTCATTTGCCAGAAGTAAAGAGGCATCAAAGCTAAAGCAAAGCAACCCAGGAAAAGAGCAGACAACAGACCTTAGGGACAAGTATTTGAATGCCTAGGAGATGTGCAATGACCAACACACAAATGCTCTGTGCAAAGCCTAGAACTTAAAAGCAGTCTAATAGAGGGTGGTGTGGGAAAATAATCCAAGAATTGAGCACTAGGCCTCTTGTGCCACACACAGAAATACAGTACGAATTTACATTTTCTCATGGTGTAAGATCCTGAGGCAGGAAGACTGCGCCAGACTCAATGAACCCCCATGGCCCCTAACAGAAGGAAATATGAATCCTTTCTGGAGAGAGGCTTTTATAACCTAAAGCAAAAAAAAAAAAAAAAAACTAACCCAGCAACCACAATATCAACAACAAAATCTCATCCCCTTGAACAGGGGTTCCAGATCTAAACTACAAAGACAATAATAAGTAGTAAATAAAAGATTTTAAACAATTTAACAGAATACTAGATACCATAAGAAAAGTAAAAAGATAGTACTAAAAAAAAATACTAGACTAATTTTAAAAGATAGGTTTTTAGAAGCAAAGAACAAAATAACAACTTAATGGAAAAGATTAAGTTGCGTAATGGCTTAATGGAAAAGCCTTTGACTGTGTCGACCACAACAAACTGTGGAAAATTCTTAAAGAGATGGGAATACCAAACCACCTGACCTGCCTCTTGAGAAATCTGTATGCAGGTCAAGAAGCAACAGTTAGAACCAGACATGGAACAACATATTGGTTCCAAATTGGAAAAGGAGTATGTCAAGGTTGTATACTGTCACCCTGTTTATTTACGTTATATGCAGAATACATCATGTGAAATGCCAGGCTGGATGAAACACAAGCTAAAATCAAGATTGCCAAGAAAAATATGAGTAACCTCAGATACGCAGATGACATCACCCTTATGGCAGAAAGTGAAGAACTAAGGAGCCTCTTGATGAAAATGAAAGAGGAGAGTGAAAAAGCTGACTTAAAACTCAACATTCAAAAAACAAAGATCATGGCATCCAGTCCTGTCACTTCATGACAAATAAAATGGGGAAACAATGGAAACCATAACAAACTTTATTTCTGGAGGCTCCAAAATCACTACAGATGGTGACTGCAGCCATGAAATTAAAAAAACACTTGTTCCTTGGAAGAAAAGTTATGACCAACCTAGACAGCATATTAAAAAGCAGAGACATTACTTTGACAACAAAGGTCCATTTAGTCAAAGCCATGGTTTTCCCAGTAGCCATGTATGGATGTGAGAATTGGAGTATAAAGAAAGCTGAGTGCCGAAGAATTGATGATTTTGAACTGTGGTGTTGGAGAAGACTCTTGAGAGGCCCTTGGACTGCAAGGAGATTAGTCAGTCAATCCTAAAGGAAATCAGTCCTGAATATTCACTGGAAGGACTGATGCTGAAGCTGAAACTCCAATACTCTGGCCACCTGATGCAAAGAACTGACTCCTGGGAAAAGACCCTGATGCTGGGGACGATTAAAGGCAGGAGAAGGGGATGACAGAGGATGAGACAGTTAGATGGGCATCACCGACTCAATGGACATGAGTTTGAGCAAGCTCCAGGAGTTGGTGATGGACAGGGAAGCCTGGCATGCTGCAGTCCATGGGGTCGCAAAGAGTCAGACACGAATGAGCAATTGAATTGAACTGAATTAATGGAACAAATAAGCAGAGAATACTACAGCTAAAAAGGATAGAGTAAACTACAAAATAAAGGTAAAAATATCTTACTATATGCAAGGTGAAAAGACCTGGAAGGTATGATAGAGAAGAGACAAGAAGAGCAGAAAAGATATGGCTTAATGATGCTAATGAGAGTTCTAGGAGAAGAAACTGAGTAGAAACAGAACTACCTGAAAAGATATTGTTGAGAATTTTCCAGAACTGAAAAAGCAAATATTTCAACTGAAATAGTACACTTGAATTCCAACCACAATAAAGCCAAATCATCCCTGAACAGAAAGATAATCTACCCCTTCACACAGGATAAAAATAAGATTCTATATCATGAAATGACAAGTAGATTGAGCACTGCTTTCTAATCTACAACAATAGATACTTGAAGTCAGGAGTAATGCCTTCAGTGTTAAAACAGAGCTAAGAAAATTATTCAAAAATGAAGGCCAATGAAAAAAGTTTCAAATGAACAAAAAATGAGAAATTTTATCTCTTGTTCACCATTCTGCAAACATATCTAAAAGAAATACGTGATAGAAAATTGAATCAAAAGGAAAGAGTAAGAGGCAAGAAGCAATGGACTGGAAAAAAATCCATAAACATCCTAGTAATTCTAGGCCGTCACTGAATGGAGGAGAAAAAAATCACTGTTGGGGGTTAAAAAAGAGGAAAGAAAATTAAAATGAAAGATATAAGGAAGATCAAAGTAAGGTATTTTAAGATTCAGTTAAAGAAAGCTAGTATTATTGATTTTTTTGTTTGTATTATTGATTTTTAACTTTTGTTAAGCAGTCAATGTTTAAAAAAAGAAATGTAGAGGATAACAATGAAAAAAGAAGAAATAACATAGTTTCAAATCAGTTGAGGGTGAAAAATGAGATGATTACGGAAACCTGATCATCAGGTATGATTAAAAACTCGGTACAATTAAAAAATAAGAAATCACAGATCAATATACTATACCTTGATCCTTGAACAGCATGGGGTTTAGGAGCCTGACCTTCTAATCA